TGCATTATAATTCATATTACACACATAGAACACATTTTTCATATCTCTGATTGTACACAAAGTAGAGTCATACCATTCATCTCTTCATACATGTACTTAGGGTAATGATGTCCATCTCATTCCACTGTCTTTCTTACCCACACATCCTCCTCTTCCCTCTCCTTTGACCTATCTAAAATTCCTCCATTCTGCCCATGTTCCCCCCATCCCCTTATGGATCAGCATCCACATATCAGAGAAAACATTTGGCATTTGGTTTTTGCAATTGGCTTACTTCACTTAGCATAATATTCTCCAATTCGTCCATTTACCTACAAATGCAGTGATTTTATTCTCTTTTATTGATGAGTAGTATTCTATTGTGTATATACACCACATTTTCTTTATCCATTCATCTACTGAAGGGCATCTAGGTTGGCTCCACAATTTAGCTATTGTGAATGTGTTGCTATGAACATTGATGTGGCTGCATCATTGCAGTATTCTGTTTTTAAGTCCTTTGGGTATAGACTGAGGAGTGGAATAGTTAGGTCAAATGGTGCTTCCATTCCAAGTTTTCTAAGAAATCTCTATACTGTTTTCCATATTGGCTGCACCAATTTGCAGTTCCACCAACAATGTATAAGTGTGCCTTTCTCCCCACATCCTCACCAACACTTATTGTTTTATGTATTCTTAATAGCTTCCATTCTCACTGGAATGAGATAAAATCTTAGAGTAGTTTCAATTTGAATTTCTCTAATTGCTAAAGATGTTGAACATTTTTTTATATATTTGTTGATTGATTTTATATCATCTTCTGAGTAGTGTATGTTCAGTCCTTGGTCCATTTATTGATTGGGTTATTTGTGGGTTTGGTGTTAAGATTTTTGAGTTCTTTATATACCCTAGAGATTAGTGCTCTATCTGTTGTGCATTTGGTAAAAATTTGCTCCCATTCTGTAGGCTCTCTATTCACCTCACTGATTGTTTCTTTTGCTTAGAAGAAGATTTTTAGTTTGAATCCATCCCATTTATTGATTCTTGATTTTATTTCTTGTGCTATAAGAGTCTTATTAAGGAATTCGGGGCCTAAACTGACATGATGAATACTTGGGCCTATTTTTCTTCCATTAGGCACAGGGTCTCCGGTTTAATTCCTAGGTCCTTGATCCACTTTGAGTTGAGTTTTGTGCATGGGGGCTTAATTTCATTTTGCTGCATATGGATTTGCACTTTTCCCAGCACCATTTGTTAAAGAGGCTATCTAAGAGGAAAGTTTATTGCTTGGAGTTCATTCCTTAAAAGAAAAAGTCAACAATTAAATGACCTAACATTACATCTCAAAGCCCTAGAAAAGAAGAACAAATCAATATCAAAAGCAGTAGAGGAGAGTAAATAATTAAAATCAGAGATGAAATTGAAACAAAAGAACAATTGAAAAAATTGACAAAACCCGAAGATGGTCCTTTGAAAAAATAAATAAAATTGATAAACCCTCTTTGATTTCTACAAGATTCAATGTTCTGTGCTGAACATCCATCCTAATTCCATATCCCAAAGATTAAACAGCTGTTGAACCTGACTGCCCAACACTTGCTGCCTCACACTTCATTTGCCTATCTTCCTGATCACCAGATCTTTATCCCATTATAGATATGTATGAACTGTGAATTGATCCCCTAGCTCACAGCTGCCTTGCCTGGCTGGCTATCTGCCTGGATTTCTCAGTGTTCCTGAGTCCAAAATCTGTCATTGTGCTCTTTCATATGGAGCGCTGATATTAACTGCAATGTGACTAACACCATGTCTTACCTATAGACTTTTCATCCAGATGTTACTTCCTTAGTATCTGTCTGGTCCTATAGGGTAAGTCAGTCCTAGATTTGAATCCTTTCTCTTCTTCAGTGCCCTGAAACTGTTTTTCACAAAACATGATCCAGAGATATCAGATTCAAAAATGTAGGAAGAAATTGAAAAATTAGTGAAATTACAAAGTAAGATACTATGAGTTCTCTCATGAAGGTAGGTAAAGTACAAAAGTAGGAAATTCACAAGCTGATAAAATTGAGAATCAAAGCAGATATGTAGGCAGTTTACATACAAGAATGCTGTTCAAAGATTATGGATATCTAGGTCCCTTGGGTATTCCTGTACCAAAACCCCAATCTGCAGATGATTAGCGAGACAAGTCAAGGCCTCAATCTTGGAGAGACTAGGCCCAAGAAAGGTTATTGAGACAAGAACAGAAGAACAAAATAATTACAAAATACATTTGTGAAGTGGAAATTAGATCCTAGGTAAGTTTGTATCAAGATATTGGAACTATCTGGGTGCAGTGGTGCACGCCTGTAATCCCAGTGGCTCAGGAGGTTGAGGCAGGGGGATCGCAAGTTCAAATCCAGCCTCAGCAAAACCAAGGTGCTAGGCAACTCAGTGAGATCCTGTCTCTAAATAAAATACAAAATAGGGCTGTAAATGTAGCTCAGTGGTTGAGTGACCCTGACTGCAATCCCTGGTATCTGCCCCCCTAAAAAAATTGGTTCTGGAACTTGAGTATTAGAAAAGGAAGAAGTTAAATTGATAGTAAGTCAACTGAATATGAAATACTTTTCTTAAATTGTTTAGTCCAAGTTCATAATTGAGCCTCAGTTTGTGGAAATAACAGTCACATATATCAAGATTTGTGGCTCTTAATTTAGTTCATGTTCTCTGTACTGGAAATAGTACAATATAAACTATGACTTATAAATCAGTAAAATACAACATGAATAATTTTTAGAACTTTTACCCTTTCTGGGGCAGTTACATACAAATGTCTTTTTACTCTTATGGAAACCTGAAATGAAAAGACCAGCTTTAGGCAGTGTCTCCAAAAATTTTGTTGGGGCCTGTCTATAAGAAACCAAAAACTTTTCTTCCCCTTTCATTTATTATGGAGCTACAATATAGTTAAAATAGTTTATTGGAATATGACATTGCAGATTGTGTATATTACTATAAATTTATGTCTCTGTTGGTATGCATAGAAGATTCTGTATCTACTTTTAAGCAAGAAGGGATAAAAGGGTCCTTTGCCTTAGAATACTACCTTATTACCCATGAGAGGGATTTGGGAATAAGGGATCAGCTTCACCTTTCCTTTGAATACATAATTTCATCTCTGCAGTAATGTAAGTTTCGACAAGAACCATGTCAACACAATTACCATAATTTGTTGTAGTTTGGGAAGGGTTCTTATTAAATTAATCCCACTTTATTTTCATGGTGGTGCCAGGAATTAAAACCCAGCCTTGTCATTGAGCTACATCTTCAACTCAATCCAAATATTTATTACAATTCTGTTGTTTCAGCTTTGTCATAAAGTTGAAGTTGTGTAGAAATGTAAATATGTGTTTTCTGTTCTAGGGTAACCTACAGTCTAGTAAGTGACATGAGAGAAAATTAACTTTGATGACAGATTAAAAAGTGCTATCACAATAGGTACTAAAAATGAAAAATATAGGAAACTATATTCTGTTTACATTAAATGTCCAGAATAGGTAAATTGATATACAAATAAAATTGATTAGTGGTAATCGAGGACCGGAAAGAAAGGAAAAATGAGGAGTTTTGGTTAATAACCATGGGCTTTCTTTTCAGGGAAATGAAAATATTCTGGAATCAGACAATTGGTGATGGTTGTATAGCATTGAGCATGTACTGAAAATGTAAGAATTGCATATTTATAATAGTTGAAGCAGTGAATTTTATGTTATATAAATTTTATCTCAATTAAAAATAACTCACACAAACGTACAAACACACATGATTTAAAATATAAAGGAAGAAAACTGTACATTCCAAGTGAAAATAGAGTTCACAAAATACAGTCATGATACATTTGATGGACACCCATCAAGAGTGGATTTTCTAATAGGTATTTCAAAAGCTTATTTGAAAAAATGAGGTTTTTTGGAACTGGGAAATATTTTATGCAGGTCAAATATCACTGAGATATTTGACAAGCACAGCACCGCACACCTATAATCCCAGTGGCTCAGGAGGCTGAGAAAGAGGGATTGTGAGTTCAAAGACAACCTCAGCAAGCACTCAGGAACTAAACAACTCAATGAGACTATCTCTCTAAGTAAAATACAAAACAGGTCTGGGGATGTGACTCTGTAGTCAAGTTCCCCCAAGTTTAATGCACACTACCAAAAAAAAAAAAATACTGAGTTTTAGGCAAAGTCAGAAAGAATTATACTCAACTGCTAGGATACAATTACTCCTGCCACCTTCTGTAAACGAATCTACATAATTCCTACACTTTATTTCAAGATTACTCATTTACTATTATTTAAACTTGATTGAATATTTAGATAACTTATACTTGTTATCTACTGTTTCTAACTAACTTAAATGCACCGTATATCTGAGATGCTTAATCAAAAATTATATTTCTATGAGAGCATTGTTTTAGTACACTGAATATATAATAGTACATTCAGTCTAATAAAATAGTAAAATATTAAAAATATTAATTCAAAGAGTATTTGTTTTAGTTTAGGACGCTATTTTGCTATTAATCTCAACACCTAATATGATACAAAACCTTAACAATGTTGTTGTTAGTTAATGCAGTGATATTTGAAAATAAATTGTAAAGTTTGACAAGGAATGACTATGTTCTCTTTTTTCTTTTTGAACTGTGTATTTCATTTATTTATATTTTATGCTATGGAAATAAATGAAGAGAACATATTACCTATTCACTTATTTGCTCATTAATTCATATAATATAGAGTCAGTGGCCCTGTTCTTAAGCAATATACTTGGTAGAATATACTTATTTCTGTTCTTTTTTGTCATTATTTTTTCCAAATAAATGGCATTTCAAAAAATTTTACATTTTACATGATGGTTTTTAAATTCATTTCTGTTGATGATTATTTACATTTTGTATCTTTTATTCTGGCCTGTACTATGTGACCATAGTAGACATATTAAACAATTTATGTGTTTTTTTTTATTTTTTGTAGATTCTACAAAGAAATTAAAGGATGTACTTGAAGAATTCCATGGTAATGGCGTGCTTGCAAAGTATAATCCTGAAGGGGTAAAACTTCTTTTTTCTTTATATTAGTTTAATATTTATGGTTAGAAGTGGGTATTTCTTCATTCAAAGTTTTTGAAAATATGTATAGTGTGTAGGCATATATATATATATTATATGCCTACGTGCATAAACACACATATATTATGTATATGTATACATATATACACATACATGTATATATCACATCCCATAAATCATTACCATAAACCATACATTAAAAATATTCACAACAAAATGCTTTTCTGAAGGTATCATAAATATAGCATGTTTTTCATTCAAAATTTACTAATGATATTGTATTTCTACATTATATGCTTGAAAAGTTAGATCATTTAAATAGTGTTAGTTTTTTTTTTTTTTTTTTTTTTAGATGTCAAGAAATCAGATCAGATAGTGGAGAGAGGGTGCTTGATTCTCACTCTATAACCTACACATTTCAACCAATATGGGCATTAGTGTGGGGCATGAGAGTTGTCCCATTCAGGAAATTATTTCCTCAAAGATATTGTGATGTACATAATCACTTTGTCATTTTAAGGAGCCAGCTTGTACTAAAGGAAAGTAATTTCTTCCTCCAATCTTGTGCTTAACCTATTACTAGTATGGTTTGAATTCCTGAAGTCCTCTTTTTTAACTAACTAATATAACTAATTATTTTCGTATGCCATATTGGAATGAATGCCTTCCCTTTCCTAATCATTTGTTAAAAAGTCTTTCCTTTAATATTAGTTAAGAAGTGTTACATTTTGAGTGTCAGTATTACCATTAGTTCATTTGAGGTTTCACTGAGTGATATTTGGATTTTATGGGAATTAAAATAGACTGCTCTTAGCAAAACACAATTTTACCTAAATGTACCATCTAGATAGATTTGTTTTCAGACAAAGATGTGATATCTCTTTTGTTGTCATTTTTTTTTTTTTTTTTTTTTTTTTTGCATTTCCATGATTACAAGAACACAGTCCCTGGTTGTCTTTCAATCTTATTCTTCTCTGGAATATTTAGAACTTGATTTTAAGTATTCCTGTCTAATCTCTAGATTCTAACCTTCAAATATTCCTATTGTTTTATAAATCCCTATCAATTATTTCTCATAGCTGTTTTTCATGTCACGTTTGCTTATTCTCTCTAAGTATGATAATTTTTTATATCTATTTAGTCTAAGATTTATTTTCTTTTTAAAACATAAAATTATTATGTTTAATGGTAAAAAGGTGGGGAAAATAAAGGCAATTTTTAAACTATTCCTGTTTTCCTCTATCAGGAACAAAACAAACGTCTGGTCTGCATTTCCCTCACAATTTACTTTCCTAGAAGCTGTAGTGTGAGAAAAATAATATTAATGGCTTAATTTGTAGAATTGAAAATCTCAAAGTCCAAGAAAGCAGAGTGTGGAAATTAGAGATGTCAACTACACTAAATTTCTATAAATGAAAAATGTCATTAATATTAACAATCACCATATTACCTGAAAACATGCATATTTATCTACTCTATACACAGATTAAAACTTATTTTTCTCCCTAAAGATAGCTGCAAGCTATCATAGACTTTTTACCTCAGTGATTTCTTATTTAAACAATTCCCAAGATGTAGTCTTGCTAATATTATCTATTTCATGAGGACTATCATTCACTATATACTGGATTTATTGTGGTAATTTCTAGGTTCTTTGCTAGACACACATATGATGTCAGACTTCAATCATATAATACCTCTCTGTAAAAGCACAGATCTGTAGAAATGCATTATTAAAATAATGGAGAGTGGATAAACAAAAAGCTGGATCTCATTATGACCCAACAGCAATTCTAAATTAAGGGTGAAACCACTCGTTGATCTGAATATTGATAGAAATTTTTCCTTCAGGTGAAAATTTTAAAGTATTGTGAGTTTTTAAGAAAGAAGTTATGTATTTTATAAAAGCCAATAGGAAATAATTAGGAATGTCCTCTATTGAGAATGAAAATACTAACGCCCATAGTTATTTTTAATATGTCCTTATAGAGTTTATGAAAAGTTACTCTAGTAGAATGAAAGAATTTCTACTGTTAATTCATAGGTGAAATCGTCACTCTGTCTTGAGCAAAGTTGAGACCAAAGTTGTTTGGCATGAATGACTCTTATTGATGCTCAATAATACAAGAGAAGTGATTAATCAAGGCTGACTTTAGAATAAATAATTAATCCCTTGTTTCCTAAAATAGATATGACATATCATCCATATTAAATACATTTGTGAAGAGAATAAACAGAATGTCCCTTAAATTGCATCTCCCAATACAAAGTAAAGCTGCTAAAGGAGTATATGCATTCCTTCGTTTATAATTTGCTTGCATTACTGACTTTTAAAAGTTGTATATGAAAACTTGATCCGAAGAAGTTATGAACTTCTTAAGCCTATTTTAGTTGAGTAGAAATATTATGTTTAATATGCACAATGATTTATTTTTAATTCTTTTGTCCTTTGAAGAAATCAGTAGCAGATATCCAAACAATGACCTTAAATATTCTTTGAATAAAGGTCTTTAAAAGACCTGACATATCTAATTTCATAAGTTTGTAAGGTCTTTAAATAAAAAAAAAATTATTTTTTAAAAAGTAAAATGATGTTTCAAAGATTAACTAGTTAGATGGATGACAACAACCACAATTAAAACTACTATTCAGAGACCCAGTTTAAGGCTGATGCCCTTTCTTAAGATTTCCTCCTCCATTGACTAAGCCATAGAAAGCAGAAAGGCCCTGATTCCTACGAAGAATAGGGGAAGGGGAAGGTAGTGGATGTTATTGCTTTTATAATAAGTGCGGCATATCACAGACACATAATTATTGCTGACCTGTGACTGGTAAGGTAAGAGGTTGCTCCTACTGGTCTTTACCTAATATTATATAAATAATATGAAGTTAAGAGTATGATTACAACTAGTTTGTAGCAGAGACCTAGTCTTAGCAAAAAGATTTTCTATAAAACACTGTGAGGACGTGTAAATTATCTGATGAGAGTAGTAGAATCATTAGAATTCCACATAATTTTTTGTTTTGGTCTTGGATTTTAAAATCAATTCCTAATTGTTCTATTGATATCTAAAAAATGCAAAGAATTTGTCAATGTATGGAAATAATACATATAATCTTTAGAAGCATGAAGAAAAGATTGGCATGTTATGCTAATAAAAGGAAACATGAAGAATGGAGAATAAGTATTCATTATCTAATACATTTTTTGCAAGCTCATATTTTCATTATCCACTTTCAATGACTTTCATCATACTGTATGTGTTATTCATTATATTTTTCTCATGTCAGTTCAAATTGTTTGCTTATTCAAATACTGATCTAGTCAATGGTTCTCAAATTCAAGTGTACATCAAAATTATGTGGGGGCTTATTAAAACATGAAATGTTACTTGTCTCTCTGCTTCCACCAGTTTCTGATTTGGTGTTTCTGGGGTGGGGGCTGCTGAATTTGTATTTCTATCACTTTTCCAGTTTATGGTGCTGATGCTGTCAAAAATCATATTTTGAGATCCATAGGCCTAAGATATGTTTTAAAACCCATCTATCAACTTGAACTTTTAATATAATTATCAGAGACATGAGATAATGAGTATAAATTATCTTACATTAACACATGTATTCTTTCTTTCCTTGCATGCACAGAAACAAGACATTCTTAACCAAGTAAGACATTTTCTTTTCTATTACAATCTTTCTTCTTTTATTCTGATATGACCTATGAATTTCTCACCCAATACCACTGAACTATACTTCTGAATCAATAAGGTTTACATAGTATTATATTAGCTATAATACTCATAAATTTATAATTGAGGTCAGGTATAACAGAATTTTTTTTTTCAAAATAGTGTCTTAAATGGAGGAATAGCTATCTTAATAGAATTTAAAAAAAAAAAAAAAAACATCTAGAGTATGGACTTCAGTTTTGTATACTCTGGAATTTAATTTTCTAATTTCACCCAGACAAGTGAGACTGATGAATTAGCTTATTCAATGAAAGTCTCAATTTATTAATTTAAAATGGAAGATTTAAAAATTGCATTCAAAATACAATGATAAGGTCTTTTTATTTTGTTTTGTCTACAATTTTATGTTTGATTCTCTGTGTGAAACATAACTTTCACAAAGCTGTTAATTTTGTCCTCCTGGGAAAAAGGGTAAACAGTCTGTTGTTTCTATTACTTTCTTCCAGGGAAGTTATAGGTCACTAGTTCAGTTGAATGTATAGAATTACAACACATTATTGGGTGCTCCATGTAGATAATTCTATCTATCTATCTATCATATATCTATATAGATATAGATATAGATATATTATAGATATAGATAGATATAGATAGATATAGATATAGATATAGATACATGTATACACATATAGATATATGTGATACATGTATGTATATATATACACACATATATATAGTGATACATGTATACATATATAGATTTATGTGATACATGTATACACATATAGATACACATACATGTATACACATATAGATATATTTTTTACCAACTTAGGCATATTTTCTTACTAAAATGCATGAGTTGTCTAAAACTATAATATTGTTTCTCTTGGGCAATACTGGATACATAAAAGCTGTTTTTTGTTCTCAAGTATTCTGATGCTTTCTGTAACAATAAGCACAGTGATTTCATGCCCTGCATGTAAAATATAATCGATATATCAGAGTTGTCTTGGTGGATTTAGACACCAGTCCTGGACAGCATGAATTTCTGCTTTTCTTCTCCTTGTTTGTCCTTTGTTCCATTTGCTGTTCTTTAGTAGCCAAGAAATCTCTTGCAGAATAAAAAGACCAGGCAAAGCTGAGGGGAACCAAAAGGTTAAAAAATATTGAAAAGCAAGCTGGGGATATAGCTCAGCTGGTAGAGTACTTGCTTTGCATGCACAAGGCCCTGAGTTCAATCCCCAGCACCACACACACACACACACACACACACACACAAATGAGAATGTTACCTGTGCTATTGCTCTACCTGTGTCTTTGAGGTACCAGTGTTCTCTGCATGTGGTGTTTTCCCATCAGTAGTTGGTCTTTGGCCTAAGGCTGTGTTAGGGTTCAAATCTCCCTGGGCCTCCCTCATCTTTGCACTTGATATTGTGCATTGTTGTTTCTGTTAATGTCTGTATGTTTTGCATTCAGACAAGTAAGTTGCTGTCATCCCTTAATAAAAAAGCTGAGAATTTAGAACCTACATATTGAAGTGCTGCTAACTAATGTAATATTTAGTTTTTTAATATACTGTACCACTGAACTATACCCCCAGCTCAAGTGTAATATTTTAATTGTCTTTATAAAACATATTGACATTGATATTGTTATTAACAATAATACAGAAATCCTTTTGTAAATGAAAATTACTAAACCATATCCAATGTTTTCCATTAAAGAAAGCATAAGGAGGGGCTGGGGATGTGGCTCAAGCAGTAGTGCTCTTGCCTGGCATGTGTGTGGCCCAGGTTCCACCCTCAGCACCACATAAACAAAGATGTTGTGTCCGCAGAAAACTAAAAATTAAAATATTTTTAAAAAATTCATTTTCATTCTCTCTCTCTCTCTCTTAAAAAAAAGAAAAAGAAAAGAAAGCATAAGGAAAATATAATAGAAAATGTTGTCTTAAGAGTCTGGCTGAACTGAGTATAAATCCCAACCTTAGGAAGCCTTGTTCACCTATAAAATACAGAGGGTAGCAGCTGAACTACATTGTTAAAAGATTTTAACTCTAAAGTGTATGTGAAATAATCAGCTCTGTGAGTGACTCAGAGTATGTGTCCCATTAGCATTTAGAGACACTGACACCACAGGTCACACATTAGTGACCAACATGATTTTATCCAAAAATTCTGGATCATGTACCAAATGAGAAATTTAGCTAGAACATCTGAGATTATAACACCAACCAACCTTGCATCCTTAATTTTTTTAGACACCTTTTTTTGTGCAAACATGAGGAAGTATAACGGGTATATTATTTCTTTCTATCATGTGGTAGGGAGGGGACATGACACAATATTTGTTTCCACTGCCAAGCTGGCCTCAACCCTGAATGCTGTCCCAGTGTAAGCACTATCATGCTGTGATATTTGCTCCATCTCTCACAACTGTATTGAACCAGGAATGACATCTTTTTCTACCAGCATTTCTACTACCATTAGTGTCATGTTTGTGACTTTCCCCTTCTCATCAAACCTACAGAGGAGACACAGTTTTGAAGGCAAACTACAAGACACAAAAATAAACTGCCAACTAAAAGTCTGTGTTATTAACCTGATATTGACCATCTATTGATTATTCTTGGAATCTACAGTACTTCGCCTTTCAATATGTGGGCTTGACTTTTTATGCCCTGATACTCAGAAAATTGTTCTAGCATAGAATGAAATCATGTTCAACAATTTAAGAAGTTATTTACATCTATATTTCTTACCTTAATGAGTTATAACATAATTAAACAAATCACCTTGAATAGCTTCTTGCAGTTTTACTCAAACTTCAATGTTTATGAAGATACACTATCATCTATTTATGAAAACAGAATTTGAGAATGAACCATCTGCTACATCTTTTCTACATTGAGAACTTGTATTAATGATTTGACTGCTAGGTGATAGCTGTCAAAATTGATTTATTTCTACCACAAACTGATATAATAATCATACAAAAAATAAAATGTATGTAATTATTTAGAGTACATAAGGTACAATTAAGCCAATTCTATTCAGTTATTTTCTCAAAAGTGAGATTATGGAATAAATGTAAATGGATTTGGAAAGTAAATTGTTTCTCTCTTTAGTTTAATAGAACAAATTTAAGTGTGAATTTTAGATACTGTATAAATTCATTTGTCCTTCATTTGCTTAATAACATTTATTAAATAGGAGTTAAATACCAGATTATAGAATACAGTGATGCTGGTATCTTATCTTGAGGTGACCTCTCTGCTTTTTTCCAAGGAGAAGTAGAACAAAGGGTACCCAGCCAAACAAGAAGTTTATTTTTAGGGTTTTGTCTCTGATTTTTTTTTAATCACCAGCAGTAGTTTTTTTGAGCAGAAGAGCACTGATGGTAAATTAATCTAGATATTTGGGTAGAATGTCTTAGAATGTCTAATAATTTTAAGGTTTTTAAAATACGTAAAGGAAATCATAATTAATAACTTTAAGATTAACAAGTTAAAATTTTCTCTTAGAAAAATACCTTCAAAGATGATGTGTAAAATAGACTTCAGTGGAAAAGAAGATGAGCTATCCAAAGCAATAAAGTAAAAACAACCGAGGTGGCAATGCAGATTATAATGAAAGTCAGGGACAGATTTAAAACATGTTTCAGATGTAGGTAATACGTTACAATTTTAATCAAAGGTTGCAGAAAAAAGTGACAATTGTTTTCAAAACTGGGCAACTGAAAAGAGTGTTATACCATTACATTTTATTTTTATACATTTTTGTGTGACTAGCTCTTCTTCTAAAGTGGTGGGCTTATTGATACTGATCAGTGCACCTAACTTAAAAATCAACTACAGAATGTAATGTACTATGTATGAATATTGCAAAATATTTCTACAAAATTGTACTTGTTCACCTACAGGTTAGGGGTTCATTTTTCAAAGAGAAAATGTGTATGTACTTATGTATATGTTTTGTTAACATGGGCATTAAAGTTAGTAATATTTAGGTCTTTGATGATAATTAGAAGCTGTGGGTATTGGGCTATTTAAAGAAATTTTCTGAACCTCAAATTGTCTTAAATAGGAGTAATAATAGCATCTGATTATTAAATTATAGCATGCATACAGCATATTTGGCTCAGTTCCTAAAGCATTGCCACACTTAGTGTTTCCATTATATGTAACTGGCATTTTAATCAAATTTCTAATATCATCTTTCCATTTAAGGATAATGGAAGAGATCATTGACCATAAAGATTAAAAGGAAAGAGTGGAGACTTTGAGAAGGAAAACAGAATAAAAACACCCATCATTGAGACATAAATATACAGAGAGAAAAAAAAAAAAAAACACTTGAAAAATAAAGAAACTATTGTACTGCATCCCAAATGCACTGACTGTGGCATGTTTAATATATACTAGATACTGAATATGGTTCTGTGAGAGAAACAGAAATGCTCAGAATGGTCTTTGCTACCCAAGAGTGTCAAACTAGTAAATCCACTTTATAAGTTGCTGACAAAATGTTTCAATTCAGGAGATTCTCAAGTCCTAAAAATAGTAAATTCCCTGACCTAGTTGTAAAATCTTAATCCCTCACTTTTAGATGTTGACAGAGTGTTTCCTGGTTTTATTATCCTTCTCAACTTGATATTTCTCCCAGTGCTAATCCTGGAAGATTTGGGCATTGATGGATTCAAAAGAACAGAATTTTTGAAATAGGATGTATTTGAAACCCTTGGTCACACTGTCCTTACTGGTTTTGTTTTAATTTATTATGTTACGGTAGTAAATATATGACTACAATCCATTATACTTTGAAATAATGTTGTTTGAAATTCATGAGGTGAAAGAATATATCCCAGCTGAGAAATTTTTGTATTCATTCTACTTTTCAAAATTTTTATCATTGCACCTAGGCAAGTTTATATCTATCTAGGTTGCCTATGAAGATATAATTTAGTGTAATTTCA